CCTTAAGACACCACGAGAAATAGCTCTTGAGACAAGTCTACTGCATCACAGTGGCTGCCGAATATGTGCACCAAGTCCACATTGCTAAAAATCCTTGGGTTGAAAAGAGATATTGCAAATGCACAGTAGCTGATTTTGAAACCACAACATTTCTACTATTTATTATTATTTTTACAAAATACCCAAAGTGATCAGACCATATTGGAGGTTACTGGCTTGCCAAAGGGTGTGTTTTTAAATCAAAACTTTTTTTGAGTTATACAAGTGCCAAAAATAATCTTGAACCAATAATTTTTTTAAACCAACCCCCATCCAACAAAACAGTTGTATAACTTAAAACGGAACCCAAAGTTTGTGTTGGAAATTGTTTAAAAACCAACCCACCAAATCATGCTTGACCATGGCAAAGATTTAGGTTGGGATAATTTAGTGCCAAGATATAGATCCTCTATGGGTTTATAATGGAAATACTGACACAACCTTAACTATAGTGATGCAAATGTGCCCTAAAACACTGCATTTTGTTTTATTAATAAAAGTGGTAGTGTTTACATTTGCAGGTATTTTACACTTCAGCATCATGATGAATACTGAGTAGAACGAGTAAAGTTTTGGCTGTAAGGTCAGAAATTCCTGAAGAGGCGAATGAGACAAAAGTGAAAGTCCTAAATTATGAAAAAAAGGAAGAAATTCAAATAAATAAATAGAAAAAAAAAAACCTAGGAAAATATGGGTAAGAATTACGTTGGAATGGTTCAAATAACTGCAAATTATGGCCACTAAATTAGAGACAGAAGAAAACACAGAGTTACTAATTAAATAGCAAGCATTAAAGCTTTATGTTTTTGTATTAAAAATAAAAACAAAACAAAAAAGCTGTTAAAAATAAGACTTGCATTTACCAGGCCACCAAGCTGCATGGACTAATAAAAGAAACTAACAAAGGCAATACTGACATGAAGACAGACGCACACACACACACACACTCTCTCCAAACATGTGCAACCTGACTGTTTTGAATACATTGTCTTTTTTTTTTTTCTTTCCTTCTTTAAATAAAAAAAAAAAAAAGCATCTCCTAAATATTCCCTTTCACAAAATGCTTTATAGGAAGGTTTCCTAAAACATTATAATCTTATATATTTCTTCTTTGTAACCTATGCTTACGTATCCTTCCATCACTACAGAAAGGAGTTAGCATTGCTTTCTGTTTAAGGTGGTACTTTCTTTCTCTCCGATCAGTCATCATATTCCACACCACTGGAGGTTTTCCCCACTTCCAAAATTGGTGTTTTCTACCAACTCCTTCCAGGCAGAAGATATGGGTTGGCACTAAATTTCATGGTTTTGGCTCCTATAACATAAATTAAGGCTCACATTTTATTTCCTCTTTTTGTATCCAACTTTTACCCTCATGAAACCCCAGCCCTTAATCTACAGGCACTAGATACATTCTTGTATTGAGTAGGGCTATTTTAGGTCAGACAAGATCTTCTATCATTTCAAAACCTTCAAGATAGCAGCTTTCTGAATGTGTGAACTGGACAGACAGGTTTTTCAAATCTGAGTAGTAACTGCAGCCAAAGGTTTTGTTTTTGTTGGGTTTTTTTAAGACAATTAGCGTCTTCTGAAAAAATCACTACAATTCTGTGTGAAAGGGGAATGAGACTAACTCCACCTAGTCCTTGCTTTCCACATGTGTGGAAAGACTAAGGTGGTTCATTTCCTCATAAAGGGTTAGCAGCACCAGCTCACAAGTCTGAAAAGTTGCAGTTCTTAATTAAAGAGGCATCTGGCACCTGGAGCAAATCTACCCATGCAGCCATCCCTGACCACACCCTACCTTTAATTTAAAGTGGACCTCTTCCCAAAGAGAAGCCAACAAGAGGTTTTGCGGGGGGGAAAAAAACCATAAAACAAAACACAACAGAAAAGACAAAAAAGCTAGCG